AATCAGTTCGGTGGTTTAGGCGTGAAAGCGTAACAGACAGACACATAGACAGAGTTACCATTTATGTATAATATTAGTAGGGATATGCTTTTTAAATTTTATCCTCAGTAACAGATTTTTTTTAATCAAATCGTTATTGTATATACTTTTCAAACAAAACGTGCAATTCTAAATATAGCTGCTGAACCACGGCAGGGGAATTTTGAGGGTCAAAGACCTAGCGAGCTCTCTGTCTTCATAATGTAGCGATTATTTAGACACGCGAGATCAGGACCCCATGTTAATGATATAAAATGTTACATTAAAATAATATGCTTAAAACTTAGCAGTCTCGTAATAAAAATAATAAGTGCAAATTTAATATCAACACACATAATGAAAGGTTTTGAGGCCAGTTAATATTGATCTACAATATTGTCTCCTAAGTATTTTCTTTCTTATTTTCTGTTACAATAGCTCTTCTTATGTAAGGTCCTGACGGGTTGGCGCATTTCCAATTCTATTAATGTCGCGAACATTATGCACTACAGCATCCTTTAATACTTATGACTCAGGGTTAAATAAAACTTAGGAGTTTTATTAAAGGACGATACGTCTTTAGAGGGACAGTCGTTTAAAATTAAGTTTATTATACTAAGACGGTGAAGTAAAACATCGTGAGGAAACCTGGACTTATAATTTCAATTTTAAGTTTGAATTCACCAACCCGTTTTGAGCAAGCGTGGTGATTAATGCTCAAACCTTCTCCATGTGAGAAGAGGCAGCTCAGAAGTGGGCTCTGATAGGTTGATGACGAAATACTAAGAATAATGCAAAACGCAAAACTTATCAATTTAACAAAACGAGATATTTACAAAATTATAAAAAGAACTAATCAAATTCTGACATTTATATAAACTAAAAAAAATAACACAATTTAAACTCATTATAAAAGTATAAAAATTCTTAATCACTTAAATTTGCTCAATATAAATATTTTATATTGATTTAAACAGAGATCGAAAAATGTATACGTCAAATAAAATAAAAATGGCGCCATACTGAATGAACATTCTAGAATGTAGAAACAAACTGAACAAAGGTGCGATGTTGTTATAGTGACTAATTATTTGATTAAGATTACCACAACCGGTGACAGATACACAATGAGACAATTGATTTATGTATAAAGATGGAGTCATATGCAGCAGATGTCTCAAGTTAGAGAATGCTTTTCACCCTCGAAAATTGAGATTTAGTTGACAAATATCCTCTAAGAATGGATATAGATGAATTTTAAGAGCCATAAATGCTTACAAATTAACAAAAATCGAGATTACCTAATGTATATGTAGATAATTTTAATAATAATACAAAATAAAGAAGTTTGTTTAAGTTATTATTGAACGTGGATTCGTATTTTTTAATCCAAAATTAATATAGTCATTCATAACCATATACTTAATCCTTAAGGAAAAGAATGAATGTACGAATAATAATATTATTGTTTTTATTATCAAATAATTATAACAAAAATACTTCTTACATCAATTTCGATTAATCGTATAATTAATAATAATAATTGCAAATACAGGATATTATGAACAGCGAAGAAGTAGATGTCTATGTAAATTAAATAAAAAATAATTTCATACATTAAGTACTTTTATGTCAATCATTTTATTTGTCCCGATATATTTTAGTTGAATTTAAATTGTTTGTGTTACTTGTTACTTACAATACCTCGTGCGTGATGTTGCGTGTTAGAGGAATCCAGTTAATTAAGTTAATTTGTTATTTTTTTAATAGTAAATTCATAAATTGCTTTCATATATGTACGTTACGAAATAATTTTTTAATTATAATCGATGAACAACATTTACTTTCGATTAAAACGAAGTATAATAACCTATGTGAATGTATGTAATAATTTCCTAATAATTTCTTACTTATATGCTAAAGAATAAATTCAATTTAAACCACAACATTTCGGCATATTATTTGAAATTAAAATATACTAATGTTTGATAGTCATAAATAAAGTTGTAAATCATTTTATGGGCTGCGACCGAGGGGCTGAATATTGCACTAACAAATGCGGGGTAAAATGTAGAGCCGAAATAGGGTTCCTCCAGTTGCGAGATAAATGAATAATCCTCATCAAAATCTACAATAATAATTCTCAGTCAAACTTATCGTATACTTACCTTATGAAACGGTAGGAATGCGATACGCCGGTATCCAAATAAGATCACAGTTTATACACAGCACTGAAAATAGCACATCCACTAATATAACAATTATAATAGCACATTGGATATCAAAACAGCTGGTTATAAATTTTCGTTCCTGTCAAATGTGTCCTTGAAGGCGACACGCCATGTTGTTTTGAGGACGGGCGCGTGGCGACTGCGCGCAGCCGCCCCTTACACGGCGCATGCGTAGTGCGTCACCCCTGTCTCGCCCGCACTCTCGTTATCCTTCCTTCCTTGCTCTATATTTTCCTGATGCGCCACAGATTAATAAATCTTACAAATCCGAATTCAATAAATCGTCTTTATATTAGGGACATATTTAATATGATATCTTTAATGGTTAAATAAACTAAAAGGACCAAATTTTTTAGACAAGAATTTACAAAACTATTGAGTTCCGTCGCAATTAATGGAAATATTTGATTTTTGTTAATATAAAAGGATCTTGACACATTTTATTTTTGCATTGAATGAAATCAAATGCGGTATCTCAAAATTAGCAGAACCAAGTCGCTCTACCTTTAATAATAAATTTAAACTATAAACCTATTTAATTTTCTACATACATCTTCAGTAACGGTGTTGAGTTTGTAAATATTATCAATATTTAGTTTCAATACTGTCACAATGTGATGTAGTATTAAATTACTTCCGGAGAGCACTTTTACTCTTTGAGCTACCACAATAATATAGAACAAGAGGCAATAGCCTCTACAATGGATCATTTGTTGTATCATCCCCCTCAGATTGTAACGGGCTCTTTTTATTTTTTGTTCTAAAGTTGTCTGCCAGAAGTCGTGACGATAGTCTAGGGATTATAGATTTTACCGCAGAGTTTAACGTACATTACTGGCTTTGTACATGATAGTCCTCTAAAAGTAGACCTTCAGAACGCGTAATGTATAATTTTAAACAAAATAATACGAAGTCCTGTTACGTAATGTCGCTCTATAATGTTTTGATGTGTGGGTTGACGTCAACCTACGGTATTACATATTATTTTGTTATGCATCAATTATAAAGCTTCTAAAGGAGTTGTTATGAACTTTATAGTGTAGGTACATGTTTTTAGTATTAAATCAATGTAAGTATTTTTTTATGACTCTATTTTCTGTTCAATCTTGTTCCTATAATACATATTTCTTTTTCTCTTAAGGCACAGGAGTCAACCACCTTCCATTTTTCTTCTGTCGTCAAAATGTTCACTTTATAAAGTCTTTTACAGTCTCTTAACTTATTACATTTTCTTACGTTAAAATTATAGTTTTTTTTTTTTTTCTAGTATATGTGGAATACATACACTTTCTTCGTATATTAATAAATAACTTTTTAAGTGTTTTTGACAAACTTAATAATAAAAAAAATAGAATTAAGGTGAAGGTGCAAAATTTGATCAAAATAAAGGATACATGAAAATTATTATTGCGGTGCGATGAAGATTAAATGAGCTACCATTTGCACTACTTATTTTAATGAGAAAATAATTGATATTTTTAAAGAAACACTTATGTCATAAACTTTTCACATTTGTAATCTATTTTTGTAATTGTAACACTTTTCGGCTGTATAATAAAAAAAATATGAACTCTCATCCTTTACGAGCGTGGATTCAGAAGAGATGATTGAAGGATATTATAAGATAATTTAATTGTCACTGCAGCATGTTTTTCTATAATTAAATGATATGAAATTTATTTTGATTGAATACACAGGTATTTATATTAATACGTTTTTAAGGCTATCTATTCAAAAATTAGCGTTTTCGTTTTTAGACAGAATGCGTTTAATTAACTCTTATAGTTCCTTTCTCCTGATTTTTTCTTTTTGTTTGTATTGAAAATGGTCTTTTTAGGACGGATTTGTTGGCTACCTTAGAGATGGTTTGGTTTCATTTTTTATTATAATACTTAACAACAAGAACTACAACTGAATATTCTCGAAGATAATTATCGTTGTAACACTCTATTTGTTTTTAATTACCGCGGTACGAAATATAAGAGGAGAATGTTCAACAAACTTTTTTTGTAGTAATTATTGCTGCTTGCCTAGCTTTGGTTTTCATCGGGAAAAAATTAACTCTTCGTGTTGTAAATGTGAACAACCCCTAAAAATCAAAGTTAATTCATATTAAGCTGTAGGTATTGAATAAACCAATGAGGGAAGGCTTTTTGGAAGCAAATCATTTATTATAAAACTTAACATGATTTTTTTTCTTATCATGAATGGTTTTTTTCAACTTTATGGCTACATTGTCTTATTTTCTGTTTTTAATTGAAGTCTATTTGAGGCCTAATTTTTGTTGGACTCTTCACAAATTATAATATTTATATTTTGAAGTACTTTAGAAAAGTTTTAAATGCTTCCCTAAATTAGTATCTATATAAAATTAACATCTTAAATATGTATATCAGATTCATTACACCTATAACCTAAAATAAAATTTATATAGCCATGGAAGTTGCAGCGACGATCATACTGTGATAATCCAACTGAATTTATATCCCAAGTTATTATTATAATTTCGGAGATTTATAAAATTCACAGTTAAAATATTACTAATATAAATAGATTCAAATGAGACAATATTTTTTAACGCACTTTGTAAATGCTTTATTGTCAAACTTCACATTCGACAGAAAAAATAAAAAATGACACACAGTTGATAGTTTTGCTTGTGCCATGATAGTTAGGATTTAAATAATTTTAACATATTTCACTCCAAATTACATAAATTAAATTATTTTATATTCATAGAATACGATCGCCATGCCAGAAGAGACTAAAAGAAATCAGTAAGTAATCAATTTAAGTTAACATATGTTTAAATTTGTCAAATCTAATAATAATTGAATTATATTGAATTTCAGAAAAGGCAAAAATGAATCTAAAGAACAGAGAAAGAAACGCCAGCCTCGGCACCAAGCTGGTCCAGTTGAGAAAAAGCAAGAAAAGGAACCTGAGAAACAAAAAGGTAGAAAAAAATAATAATAGATTTAAAAGATATACATGAATTATATATGTTCCCATTTAATTTGCAATTTAATTCTAACATTTAACTAAAATAATTTATTAATTAGTTTTAATAAAAAATTATGAAGAGCAATATGTATTTTAAAATTTTTTGATGAATGCTTATTGATGTATTTTTTCTACCCTAACATTGTACTATCTCAATTTTGTTCACAGAAAAATAATATTATATATCAGAGATATTGAGAAAAAAGTAACATTTCCAATAATTTTCAATTGTAGCCACATAATATTTGTTGCAAGTCATTTAAAATGCAAAGATGTTTTATCAAGCCCCTAATGCAGTTAACTATATATGAATCTCAATTAAATAAATTTTAATTATCTAATTATCTTTTAAGAAACACCAAAGGCCCCAGAAAAACCAGCATACCAGCCACCCGGCCCTGAATTCTACCAAGGCCTTAAAAGGGAAACAGATGAAATACTAAAAATTACCGAAGAAGAGAACAGTAAGTACAAGAAAAAGGAAATTCAGAGCAACTGGGCTAAATATGAGATGCCGATCGAAAGTTATGAAGCTATGGATGAACAGGAAAATCTTGGAGCTGATTACGAGGTATTTATAGCATAATACTATGATGTACTATCATTTAATTATAATTAAATTTGTATAGACAACTATGTAGAGCTAGAAAATGAGACAATGCAATGTAATGTAATCCAATTCAAAACAATAAGCAAGGTTGGGATTCACACTAATAAAATACTTTCCAGTTTTAACTGCTACATGAAAATAATAGAATATCAAAATTATTAACTAAATGAACTTTAGAATAGTGTTGATTAAAAAAAATGTAATTAATTAACAATATGCGGATTGATATAGAAAAATTATAAGTTTTATAGCAAATATAATGCTAAAGTATTGTTACATGACATATATATTTGTTTTCTATAATTCTAGACTCTGATTCAAGCACCGCTATCAGTGGGAACACATTTTCAATTCAAACATGAGAAATCATGGGATGTTACATCCAGCCCCTCGCCATATGAAACATATTTCGACATTGATATGGGCGACCTTGTTATAGCATTGTCTACTATACCATTCTATGAAAGGACTAACATTGACAAATCTGTCTTCACTGCAAGTGATTTCCAAAGCATGGACCACAGAGCGATGAAATATAAACAGAAATATTATAAAGACAATAAATATAACACACCAGACTTGGACACCCAGAATAGTATTATAAACAAATTGTGTGAGAAAAACGAAGAAAATACAACATCAAGTGAAAATATTGAAATTAGTAATGAAAAAATTAATGAAGATAATGTATTGAGATTTAAAGATTCACTTGATACCAATGGTCATCCTGTAGATAATAAAGTAGATAAAAAATTAGAATTAAATATAAATAGTAATGAAGATATAAATATTATCAAACCTAAAGAAATTGAGAAATTGAAAACTACAACTGAAATATTAATAAAACCTAAAATCATTATGGAACCAAAAGGGGATGATCCAATGATTGATAATGATGATTTTGATAACAATTTATTAGCTTCTACTAATGATGAAATTGTAAAGAAATCTGTTAAAGAAATTCCTGTTAGTAATATATCGGAAGATAGACCTCAAGGTATAATATTTATTAATAGTTTAACACACATATCTGCTAAATTTTTTATTCATAATCATGTTTAATATGTCACTATATTGAAAGTAATTTTTTCTTGTTTCAGAGACATTACAAATCCAAAAAGAATCAAAAAATCCAATCATAGAATCTCCAGAGGACTTGGAAAAATGGCTTGATGATTTCTTAGATGGTTAAATAACTGTGATACTATGTGTAATGTATATGGACTATCAAATAAAACTATTAATCACTAAAAATTTCAATTTATTTCAAATTATATACCTCACATATTATGTTTAAAAAGAAATGAACAGTTTATAAACAAGGATTTATTGTTACATAGGTTTAAAATATGAAGTGTATTTAAGAAATGTTATTAATTCAAATACATAGCTTTGGAAAGAATTTCCTTCTGAAATTGATCATTCTTATTATCTTACCAGCTACTTCAAATAGGCGTTGTAAATTTGAACTCATATATTCTTGAAAATTTATGATTTTTCATCCTTCAAGCTTCCTGTAACATTAGCATAGTAATTAGTATATATTTTTTAAAGAAATGTAATATCATAATAGAACTTACCATTTCATAAAGTATTATTTTCATTTGTTGTTGAACATAAGTTGTATAAATGAAAAAAAAAATGATATTAAGTAAAAATATTTAAACACAAGGAATTACGTATAGGTTGGCTTTAAGTCTTTATATTTATTTAACCTCTATTGTTATCTATTTATTTTGTTCTTTAAATCGTTGGTAGGCAAATTCTAGTCACAAGTCCAAACCTTCGAAAGTAGTATGGAAACCAAGACTAGAAGAACACATATTCTTCAGTTAAGGGATATCTTTCTTTTTTAACGTAATTCAAATCAGACACAACTTTTTATTTATGATTTATTTAATACCTTAAAAAATGTACAATAAAAATATTAAATCTACAATAAACTAGATTTAAGCCTAAGAACATGTTTTAAAAAGATATTTCCTAAAATAATCATCCTTCATTTTATTTGGAACAAAAATATATTTTTTTAACACACTACCTTTAAAAGTTAGGTCTCGAATTCGAGGATTTTAATTCATAAATTTTAATTTATAATATCAATAATTAAGATTCAAGTTTAAATATCTTTTTAAAAAGTTTGACTAATGATTTTGAAGAGTAATAAATTGCACCTCCAACAGTGACAATGCTTATCTATTACCCATACTATTGTATCAGAATGAGGTAAGAAAAATTGAATGCTTTATTTAATAATTTTTATTTTTAGAATTCAATAACGATAATTGTAGCTGCTTCCATATTGTCCCCTACTGTCTTGATCGTAGTTTCTTCGATATTGGTTCGAGTTTTGAGGTTCCGCTTGTTTCAAGGTCTTCGCACGAGCTGCTAGCTGGGACACCAATTGTGCTGGGGTCATATGCGCTATGGAAAACGTCGCACCGTCCGTCACACCGCCACTTGGATTGAAAACAGATTTCGAACTAACCAAATCTTGATCCACAACTTGTGTATGAACCGTATTCGTTATTTGTTCGCGATCTATACTAGTACCGACATTGCAGAACTTCGTTGATTCACGTATAACACACATATCACAAAACGGTTTACTCGTCTGCACAGCCACGTCTTTGAAGTCCTTCCTTAGTTTCTTCTTCGTTATTCCAACAATCTTCTCAAGGGACAATGTTGATACGATGGTGTCCACAATCTTTTTATTCTGCTGTAATGTCGCTGACGGATTGATCTTGGAAAATTGAAACTCGGGAGGAGCTTGCCTCTTCAATGGTGAACAGAATTTGGGAGCGATTTGTTTGATTTCTTGTCCGAATAGTTCATTGTTGATTATAAGTTGGTTTGGTAGTACCATTGAATCTAATTTGGATATCGCACTGTAGCAACGATGAAGTACTGTAAAAAGATGGTACAAATTTCATGAAAAGTATTGATAGCAGGTTTCTCCTTTTCCAAATCACTTATCCTGTCTTGGGTTAAAGAAGTTCAAATAATGCTATCACTGGCTATTATAAACAAAAATAATTAAAAATGTAGGTTGAACTCTCATAGGGTCTATATCTACTAAAGGCCCAGACTAGATATTGAAAATTACAAACACAATAATTAAGAAATACTTACCCTCCTCTTTAAGGGTATTGTTTAAAACGGGACCACCTGAAACAAGATTGTCTATAATTGTAAATATTTATTAACACAATATTAATAAAGATAAGTAAATAATTAACAACAACCAACAATATGGTTTCATACATGAAAGTTGAGAATTCATTTAATAATGTTGTTACCTTTAATTGGAGCGAGTTTCAAATAGTCTTCATGAGATAATTTTCCATCTGCAACCAGCTGTAATATATAAATATTTGTAATTTTTCTTAATTATGACACAAATTTTACTTTCACATTTAATGAGAGATATAATTACTTGGGCTAAAGCGTCCTTGGGTTGATTTCCAGCATCTAATAATTGGGAAGTGGATGGCATTTTGGAACCAGGTGAAATGTTTTTTACCAGGGCCGGAACCATTGCATTGGAGGGAAGAGGTTGTTCTCCTTGTAACATAGATAGATTGGGAGCGGGAACAGGCTGTGGCATTGCCGGAGCAGATCCATATTCATATGGAACATACCCACTGAAATCCGCAGCCTGTGGATAAGGGTTAGCTTGATGGTAGCTTTGAACATTTCCAGAATATTCTGGTTCTGCTCTCGGGTACTCAGGAAATGGTTCGCCTTGATAAATCATTTCACCTTTGGTTGGATAGGGATCATTTTGATAATGAAAATCATCTTTGGCAGCCTTGTAAGAGGATGTTTTAGAAACTGATCTGCGATACTCCTTTTCAGACCTGTTGAATGATCCCGATCGGGGCTGGTGGTATTCTCGGACCGATCTCGGAGATCGGGATCTTCGCTGAGGTCGATGATAAGGTGATCTTGAATGACGTTCTCTTGTGAATTCAGGAATGTGTCGGTGAGGGCTGTATTTATGAAATCTTTTGTTGCTGCCGCGAGGGTGGTGATAAGATTTATGTGGGCTCCAATGTGGGCTGTGATGCATGTCATTGTAATGGTGTCGTCGAGGACTCCAGTGTGGGCGTCGAAACCGCTGCGGGGACATGCGGTGACGTTTTGAAGGCGACTCCCAACGGAATCTATATCCGGGTGATATTCTGCGCTCCCTTGGTTCCCTTGGTGGCGATTCCATAAACCCTCTCATAGATGATGGTCGTTTCCTATATCTAGACCGTCTTGCATCTTCATGCACATGTTCTCCATAAAATTCGTCCAGTTCTGTCCCAGGAGGACGTATAACATCATTGGATTCTAAATGTTTCGCTAAGTACTCTTTTACTTTAACCGCCTTGTCTTTCTTGATGGCTTCGTTAGTTTTAGATGGATCTCGGCGACTACCGGGCTTTATGTACCCGTCCATCCGATGGCTGCTGATGGAGCGATCTCTAGTTCTGTAATGATCTACTTCGTCTTCATACTTGTCATGTTTCTTATCCTCTTGTTTATCTCCAATAAGCTCGCGAAGATCTTGAACGCTGTCTATTGCCTCTGCGTTAATTCTAGATCGCGACTGTCCTTGTTTGTTTTCACTTTGATCCCAACTATCGATAACACTAAGACCATCTACAAATTCGTCTTTATTAAAATCATCGAAGAAATCGCTGGGGAGATCTTCACCCTCGGAAGAACCCTTAGGAGCTTCCATTACAAGAATTTCATAATAACGAAAACAAAATCCGATGTTTCTATTTCAGGTTAAATGTGTGATAAAATACAATGCATAAAATGATTCAATGAATGAACTAAAATAAAATTACAATTTCTAATACTAGTGACTTGTTTGGTATTAAGTTATTTTATAGGAAATAAAAAGATGTCTTCAAAATCTACACGCAGCGGCAGACGCAACCATTAAAACTTAATCAACAGTGATTTATAAAGAACACATTGATAACTCCACCTATTTGGTTACAAATTAATTATCTTTAGTTTGTTTCATTACTGTATAAAATATAAATAATGATTAAGTAACCGGTGACCACAACTCCCCATATGACTATATATACTTTTCTCTAATGTTACAACTTATAGGTAGCTAGATAATAGACATTAGATTGTTTTACAATATAATTCATGCTTGACAGATGACGCAATGCGTATTGCCATTTCTGTTTATATTATCAAAAATCTTAATATTCGATAATAGACATTTAATATATATATGCCTCAAATGATTTAGAAATGTTTAGCCTAACATTTATACGTTTCCATTTAAAAAGGTAGAGATATCATTTTGTACATTACTAATCATCTAATTTATATTAACAAATAGGATTAGGCATTTAGTACCAAGGTTTATAAAACATATCAAAATTTTCAATCAATAATTTGTTCTGGTATTATATGTTTTTAAATATTTATATTGTGATTTAGAAGAATTTTTTTGAATTTATTGTATCAGGTTGTAGATTATAAATATAAGACAAAATTTCACATATTAAACACTATCTGGGTACCAAAAGAGACATAATTTGAAAGACGCGCTAGAGTGTCAACTTAATTTTTGGCTTTTTAAAAATATTTTTAAAGTGTACATTATAAATAAAGTCTACAGATTATTCTAATGGATAGCAAACAATGGAGCTAACTCAAAAACTCGAGTGTACACAAGAAATATGTGCAAATAACTATGAAAAAGAATTTCCTGAACAGGTTAATTTGCAGTTAATGTTTACAAACACTAACTTTTACTAAGTTATCAAAATTTTTAATTCATTCAAATATCTTATCATTAGTAATATTTTATATTGTTTATTTATTGTTTTATAGATTGGCTTTTTGGGTATTTGCGGTGTTAAGTATCCTTTGAAGAAAGGACCAAATAAAATAGGCAGAGATCCTGATACATGCAATATTGTCCTTAATTTAAATGTGAGTTAACAAAAATAAACTAAATGATTTGGACTTTCTTTAATAGTCCTTCATTGAATAATTCAAATTTATAGTTTAATTTCATATCAATTAGAGAGGAAGTTAAATAATATTTTTTCCAGTCTATATCGAGGCAACATGCGGTGATCAACATTTTAAACAGTTATGATTTCATGCTTATGGATTTAGATTCTGCTAACAAAACGAAACTAGCAGATGTAAGTTAACTTGTTTTAAAACTAACCCATAATATTAGAATGATAGTTCATTAATGTAATGTACGCTGAAGAAATAAAATATTTTTTTCACCATTCATATTTCCAGAAAACGTTACAAGCATACATTCCACACCCAATAAAAAATGGCGACATGGTACAGTTCGGTCAGGTATTTGGTGTGTTCCGATTATTTGAGGAAGACAATGATTTGCCCATGACCCAAGCCCTGGATATACCGGAGACTCCTGTGAGGAACCACGCCGTTTCTAAAGTCAATAACCTGATAACTACGATACCAGAATCTCCAGATCTCAGTGATAGGGTAATGATATCTATTCTCCCTTAACATATATGGTTTTTAACATTAAAGCAAATAGAAAGTTTAATGAAACAGTAACATCTAAGCATAAATCTTGGTATAATTCTGTAAGGTACTTGGTAAAGGAACTGAAACACATTATTACAGAAAGATTCTTCACATTAAAATATTTTTATTGTATATTTTCTATTTTAATTCAAATGTTACACTGTTGTTGCTTGACTAATAACATTTAAAATTTCATTTGTGATTATGTAAACAAATTCAAATGAATTATGTAATGTATGTATATTTTTTAGGCACAAAAAGCTACTTAAATAAGAGTTATGAAATATTGTATTTTCTAAAGGTATAATTTATTTGCTTTTTTAGGATGACTCCTTCATTGTGGCTTCACAACCAAAACCAAAAAATGTTTTCAAAAGCCCTAATACCAACTTCATAAAGTCTTCAGGGAAAACAGTAGCTATAAAACCTGTTGGTTTCAATAAAATAGATAATGTCTACTGGAGTTCGTCTAAAAAATCTGATTCATTCAACTGTGAGACAGATACATCTAGAAATGATTCAGACGTTTCTTTGAAAACTTCTGAAATTACTCCAAATATTCACGAACAAGACACCCAATGTATCAGTTACAATAAAACAGACAATTCCATTTATGAAGCGGAAACACAAATAGATGATGTACAAAAATCTGTTCATAGCTTGGAAACACAATTACCTGAAATGAATAATTTGCCAGAAGTATTCAAAATACAAGGTCAAGAAAACATCAATTTGGATTTGTCTACAGAGAACAAAGAAAATGAGGATGTACATCGTACTGACAAAGAGGTTTTATTACAGAAAACAATGGGCAGTGCTGACAGAGATGATGAAAGTAATAACAAAAATATATCTGATGATATAATATTATTTGATGAGATTGATAGTCCAGTAGGTGAAGATAACATTGAGTCACAACAACTTCTCATACCTGAGTTAGAAACAGACAATGTTGAAATACTAGGAAACAGTGAAAAACCTTCAAACAAAGAGGAGCAGCCATCAAAAAGAAGAGATTCTGGGAGCTCCACAGATTGTGAGGATATTTATATGGCGCTAACACAGAATTTACCAGAAAAACGAATTGACGATGACGAAACTGACTGTGAAGATGACATTGAAACAATTGGTAAAGTTAATAAAGAACAAAAAACAGTTGAAAACTCTAACTTGGACGATGATCTCACAGACTGTGAAGATAATATTGAAAACAAAGTCCAAACAGATCCCGGCTTAGAGGATTTAGCTACGCAAATCTTAGAAGATGTTAGCCATTGCAATATAAACTCTTCGAAATCTGCATCAGATGACCAAAAGTGTCAGAACGAAATAGATTTAGAAGATATGCCCACACAGATAATTAGTTACGAACCGCAAAATATTTACTCCGAAGAAGTTGTCACTCCATTTAAAGTTCCCGCTGTATCTCCTCTGAAACGTAGGAGAAAAGAACAGGAGCCAAAAGCGCTCGCAATTATTAACAATAAAAATATTACTGCTAACATAGAGAATGAAGACGAAGAAAATTATTATGACGCAACGCAAGAATTATTGAATGATTTATGTACTCAAAGAGAATCCCCCACATTAACTTCTGGAGCCAATAAGGATGTATTAGAAACACGTATTAATAAAAATATTATTAATAATCCACCCGATTGTCAACCAGAGATATGTGATATTGATGAAAAAATCGATAGATTTGTAATGAATTTGACTAATACAGAAAAAACCTTGCAAGTCAGTGTGAAGAAAGGTGTTGAAACCAAGAAATCATCTAGTGATAGCTCTGATATTGAAACAACACCGAGGAAATTAAATCCTCTTTCCTTTCTAAAACATTATCTACCAAACACACAAGAAATAAAGATGTATGTAAAATCAACTGGTGAAACATCATCCGACACTTCTTATGACTTAGATACCGATGGTTCAGATAGTGAACGGCATATAAAGAAAAGAAATACAAAAAATAAGATTGTTAAAAGATCAAACCTGATGACTAGATTAGAACATGAAAAATCACCTGAAATAATAATAAATCCCGTTAAACCTGAGAATAAAATTCAGAAGTCTAAAGATGTTGACATCAAAAAATCTAAGAGAAATAACGAATCTGACTTGTTAGGAAATGAAAAAAATAATAACGGAAAACTAGTCACAGCTAACACATCAGAAGTTAAAGAAAAATCGAAAAGAAGTACAAGAAGTTCAGATAATACTGATAAAAAGGACAGTAAAGAATTAAATAAAAGCAAAGAAAGTAGTAAAAACATAAAGGAAAATACTACAAAAGGAGTATCAGACAGTAAAGAAACTGTAAGAAGGGGACGCAGAAATAATATTACAACAGAAAAACAAAACAGCATCGTCAAAAAAAACACTGAGGGTGACAGTAAAAATAATGATAAACTTACGAACACAGAAGAAGTAAAAGAAAAAAGGAGTAATAAAAAATCTTCAGATACTAATGACAAATTAAAACATAAACGTACTAGAAGTGCAAGTAAACAACTAGAAACAGAGAAAAACGAGCCAAAACTCGCAGAAACTAAAGGCATCTCAAGCAGAAGTAGTCGGAGCAAAAACAGTCGAAAAGAAATTAATACGATCGACAAATTTCTATGTCCCACTCCTGTTATTGAAGCTCAGAAGAAAATTAGTAGCAAAAGTATAGTAAAGGAAACTAGAAGTACAGAGAAAGAGGGCAAAAACATAGAGCAGGAAAACAATGGAAATTATAGCAGAAATACAGTTAACAGAAGCAGAAATAGTGACAAGGTAAACCAAAACAAGGATATAGAAATTAAAGAAAGTAACAGAAAAATTGCAGAGACGAGAAGTCAAACAAAGAATATTGAGAATAATAAGAATCAAACTCCAGTGGAATTAGAAGTAAGACGAAGCAAACGGCAAAGAACAGCTAAAAGGAGCTTTGAAATAGAAGCAAAAATATCAAAAACAAATCATGAACAGAGCACAGTGTATAATATATCATCAGAATCTGGTATTGATTCTCCCAATAAACTAAAAAGACAGGCAAGTGACATCCGTTTACCGAGCTCTAAGAAGATTAAAACGGGTAATAGTTCTAACATCACGTTAAGGGCAACACCCGCTAGGAAAACTAAAACACAGTATGTTCTATTCACAGCGTTTCCATGCGATGAGGTCAAAGTTAAATTGGAAAAGTTGGGTGAGTTACTTTAACTATAGGAAGATTATGGAAAATGATTTGTTATTTCATATTAACTAGTTAAACTAAAAATGACTTATGATTTTTATTGAACATAATTTTAACATAAACTCTAATACATATATTGACATAATTTTGTAATTCTTTGATCAGATAAAACATATATGCAATAGTTATTTATATGTAATCTAAACAGATTTAAATGATTTTTTTCTCATTATTCTAAAGGCATTATTTTCTCAGTTTTGATGCATAAATTTGTTAATATTATTTTTTGCTTTATTACATTTTAGGGGCAGTTATAGTAACGGATATAATGCAATGTACAGTGGTGTTAACTTTAAATATTAAAAGGACATTTAAGTTACTTTGTGCCGTGGGTCTCGGTAAGCCAATAGTTGGACCCAACTGGGTACAGGCTTGTGTGGATACTAATATGATTGTTGGTAAGATATTATTGTTTAATTATATATAAACTTAACTACATAATATCTCTGTTTATATCATTAAATTTTTAAATAAATACTTGACTATATGTAATTTTAGAAGAAGGTACAAATACTTTTCCATTGAATTTATATATTATAACTTTTATAAATATCTTTTTTATTCTGCTTCTGATTAGTTACTCTAACTAATGTTAAATAAATATAAATAGGTATATTACTAAGGATTTTTTAGTAATATAACTTATTACCCCATTTTTTTACCCCAATATACTTAGGGAAGTTAATGATTTTTTTCTAAACTTAATAATTCATTTTCTAGATCCGTGGTTATATCTTATTAAGGACGAGAAAACTGAAAAGCGTTTTCAGTTCAGTCTGGAGCGTATATTAACTGGTAAAAGACAATTTCTGAAAGGCTACAATGTGTCCTCAACGCCAAATGTAATGCCAAGCCCTCCTGAGATGAAATGTGAGTTTACTATTACCATATATAAGTTTAGTGATCTTATTCAATACTTATTATATATAAAAAAATACATTGGAAAGTCCACCATAGTATAAAAAATATATATATCCTAAGATAAACTTGCCTATATTTTTACTGGTAACTGAACAGAAAATCAATGCAATAATAATAGAAAAGTCTTCATTTGGTCTTAGGTTCTCAATTAAGTCACTGTTTTTTCTAAACTAACATTGTCAGTCTTTTGCACAAACAAAAATAATGTTTAAGTTTTCAATGTTCCCATTTCAAATGAACTAGGTATACCAACAATGTTATTTATTAATCAATTATTATTATTCGTCTGGCGATATAGTTTTTAGCCATAAGACTACCTTTTATGTTTTTTATGGTCATTATTTTATTTAGTGGTTGTATAATAGTGTTATTATTATTATTCCAGTAATAGTTGAATGTTCAGGCGGGACCTGGACAGCGGGCGGGAAAAATTGGATATGTGTGTCCTCTATCACTGACAGAGCTCTATGGGACGGCCTCAAACGTAAGGGCGCAACTATAGTGTCAACGGAATTCGTTTTGGCGGGAGTTTTACGACAGAAAATAGATATCAATAGAAATGTACTGTTGTGATATTGTGTTATACGTGTGGTTTATATAATATTATGGACAATTGTGAAAATATTTTATAAAATAGCATTTTTAATTGTGTTTTTGTTGTTGTAATTGTTGAAACCATATTCATATGGTTGGTACGTAGTTATCTTTTTAAAAGATCGTTAATTCAAGTGGTACAAAACTAACTGTGAAATTAATATTCCTATTAGGAATTATATCGTGTACATCACATAGTAAAGCTAAGTTAATCTAAAAATGAATCTGAATGTTTGATGTCGATAAAAAAATGTAATCTGAAAATTAAGTTGTATATATTAAACTTTTATAAAAGTATCGTATTTTAGTTCATACTCTCAAGTTCATTTCTAATTTCACTTTCTCGTACAATTAATCATGTAGAATAAATTTCTTAGTGCTGATAGTTTATAACTTTATACATTTGTACCTGATTGATCAAGTAATATTAATATGTGCTAAGTTTGGTTTTCATTGCATTAGAATATGCCACTATTTTAACTTCAAAGTATTTTCAAAAATATGCTACTTCATTTGAATTTCTTTATCAACAACTTAGTTATTGCAAGACTAATTTTTGTGTATGCTCAATTAATAAAAGTACCTACTATTTTTTTACAATTCATTATACACAGTTTTCATAATTTTATAGTTTTAACTGTTTTCATACATAAGTGCTTCTCTGTCAACATAACTTATGTACAACAATATATAATATATTTTTAATTATAATCTCATTTCATTTAAAGCAGTCCTCCATTTACATTTTTCAGAGTCTTATACAGTTTATTTTAATGGTGCTTGAGGGAGAATAATGACATGTGACTTTTCTAAATTTTTATTTTATCTTAAAGTTATATAAATGTGTAATAGCTTTAAAATCAATACTGGTTTCTTAAAAAAACAAATCTTAAGTTTACTAAATAAAATATTAAGAATATATTTCTAATATATAATAATAGAACTTAGATAATTAAATTAATATGTTTTATACAACATAATGCAATATAAATAATTCGGTACATATCTGTAGATAATAACAGTGTTTTCTATATTGAATGTTTCTTTGCTAACTTTTTATTTCTCAAACATATTACTTGTTACAACTTAAGAGTTGATGTGATTAAAAAAATAATATTTAAACTTCTAAGTAAGTAAGTAGTTTTGGTGACTTAAGTAATAATTATGTTTGTGCTTGCATTTAATTGTGATGACGATGATTTAATTTAAAAAGAAGTAATTCAAACTGGCCAAAACTTAAAACGATCATACTTAACCATAAACTATATATATAAATATACACACAGCTAGCATATTTTATGGAAAAAAATGTTTATATTATAGTACACACAAGTCTTTTTCAGTGTATTCCTGAAAATAAGGATTCTTTACCATTACTTAAATTAATTCTTATATATGTGATATATATTACCTATATTTGTGGTATATATTACTTTAATGTAACAAATAACATATATTTAATTCCCAAATCAACACTGGTAGTAAAAATATATAAAAAACATATTAAATGCTAAATTAAATAGCTGTTAACTTTATAAATTATATGAAGTGCAAAACACAGTGCATGTACATACATTAATTATCACACTTAGTATGTAAACTTATGCCTCGGGGTTTTTTTTCATGAGTTCAAGGTCAGCCTCAACCATATCTTTGACAAGCTCTTCGAAGGTGGTTTTGTTGGTCCAACCTAATTTCTGTTTGGCTTTTGAAGCATCACCTAGGAGCAGATCCTGGAATAAAAGTGTTTAATATTTAGTATATTTATATTTGTTGAAAGTATATAAGTTTCCATAGTATTTCATGTGAAAAACTGAAGATTTTAATTAAAATAAGTCTTTATACAGGTAAACAATTAAAATAATTATCAACAAAACATTTAAGTTATTAAATATTGAGATGGTATTGTAATATCTTAAATATTTGCTACTTTACATTCAGTTATCCAGAACAATTATATTTTACTGAAATACTGTTTTATCACAATAATTTTATGCTTTCTTATAGGTGCCCTTAATATGCATTGATTTGAGTAAAATAAAAACAGATACATACTATGAAAGAACAAAATATTTGAATGTGAATCGCTTACCACTTCCGTAGGTCTAAAATATTTTGGGTTGACCTTAACCAGTAGTTGGTCTGTGTTTGAATCGTGACCGGTTTCATTAACCCCTTCCCCCTTCCACACTAAACCTCTCCCCACACATTCAAAAGCCTTCTCTATAAACTCCCTAACACTATGAGCCTCGCCCGAAGCTACGACAAAGTCTTCCGGCTCATCTTGCTGTAAAATCAGCCACATTGCCTGGAATTATCACAAATAAAATTGATTCATATACATTTTCATTAAATATGAAATCTGCCTTATAAACTCATTTATAGGTAGTCTGGAAGAAATGGCAAATAATCCATAAGGCCGCCTTTTGTTTCACCTTTAGTTCATTAGTTTGTGTATTTTATAATTGTAACGTAATTGTGGTGTACAAAAAAGTGTAAATAAATAAATCAATTTATTCCTTCATATAACAGGTATATTAACCTCTACATAATCCTTGGCGTGTCCCCAATCTCGTTTGCTGTCTAAATTGCCCATTTCTAGATGAGACATCAATCCAAGTTGTATCTTGGCCACTCCGCGTGTTATTTTTCTGGTGACGAAGTTCTCCCCCCTCCTAGGGCTCTCATGGTTGAACAGTAAGCCGTTACACGCGAACATTCCGTACGCCTCCCTATAGTTAACTACTATCCAGTGGCCGTACAATTTCGCACACGCTATAAGGAAACAAAATATAGTATTATTTTCAAAACTACCTTATAAATAACCTGATAATATTATAAATAAAGTTTGTGAGGATAATGTCTGGATGTATAGAACGTAATTCAGAAATACACAGAGAAAGTCGCAGACAAAAATTTGTACATCTATAGGTAAATAAGGGAGCGTTCAAGTATTACGTAACGCAATTTTGGGGGAGGGGGGGTCTCGTAAAACGTTACGATGCGTTACAGGGGCGGGAGGGGGTGTCTCTTACAAAACGTTACGTAGCATTGTTTCTAAAAAAATATATTAATAAAAACCCCCAAACTGGCAATTCTTTTCATATACGTTACATTATGTTGACCAGATTGTATTAGTCTGGTCGATATTTTTATTTGTTATTCAAAGTTTTGCAAACCTCTTAATTGATATTTTACGGGGAATACCTAGATTGCATCGTAAGTCTTTTGATGAAATTGATCACTTGAGTGTTACGTAACGTTTTGAGAAGGGGGGGGGGGGCTACAGAAAAACGTTACTGTGCGTTACGACGGGGGAAGGGGGGGTCAAAAATCTTCGAAAATTGCGTTACGTAATACTTGAACGCTCCCTAATGGATTAAGAAAAAAATCAAAAAGTCATCACAATATACTATAAGTAATTAAGAGTTCTAAATCATTTAAATACTATTTATTTCATATAACTCAATAATCATGTTAATATATTGAAGATATTTAAAGATGTTACAGAGAACACATAATATTTAAAAAAAATACTGATGTAAGCAATAAAAAATAAGTGTCATACGCTACTTAGATAAACTTATTTTGAGTATTGCCCACTTCGAGAATTAATTATATTATATCGCATCCATCTTTTAACCTACTGAAAAACCACAATATGATACTAGGCTAAATGAAATTACCAATCCCCCCACATTCAGAACAAAGTCCCTTTTTTTCTGGGTCTTTACAAGTTACAAGCCCTCCTTTAAACCTGCAGCACGTACAAGAAACATAACGTCTACTTTGTTAAAGACTGGTCTACAATCTAGACTAGTCTTCAACAATCTAGACTCTAGATAACAGAACTCACCATAAGGCGATCTTGGATAGAACGGCGTTTTCTCATTCTGGGGTACTTCTAATACTTTCCCGTATAATTCCGAGGTTGAGGCCTGGTATATTCTAGTTTCCTTCTCTAAGCCAGCTGCTCGCACAGCTTCTAAAAGTCTAAGGGTACCCAGAGCGTCCACTTGTGCTGTATATTCACTCAGCTCGAACGAAACTTTTACATGTGATTGAGCTCCCAAGTTGTATATTTCCTTTGGTCTTATCTGGAAGTTATTACGTTACGTTTTAAATTTCACGTAAACAATTCTTTATGGAATGTTGTCATCATTATTTTCAAACGATTCTGAAAACTTTTAAGCCGATACACCGGGAATTGTAAACATTGTTTGATGAGAAACCATTATGCTGTATACATTTATCAGTTCTTTGTAATCTACATATATACTTTTAATTCAATATCGTAGGCATTATGAAATTGTAAGTGCTTTTACGTTCTTATCGATATGGGTTAGCTATATAATGATTAAAATCAAATTTAGCGGATGCGTGTAATTGGAAATACGATACTACGATTTACATAGCTATGGTTGATAATATACTTTTTTCCAGTAATTATTAACAGAAACAAAAATGTCCATTATCAAAATCAAATCAACATGTTGTTTAAACAGAAATATGATATCCTAAAAATACTTTATTCTTTAAATAAATATAAATAAGCACTATTAAAATGTACACCACAAAGTCAATATCTTCTTGTATTTATCTATATATTAAAAAAACTTTAGAACATATAGAAAAAGGTGTGTATGGTTTTAAATAGAGATAGATAGATATTAAAATTTGCTTCTATAAATTGTATAGCATAACATTGTACATATATTGTATCATAATGACAATATTATATTGTAATGTTGCTACAATCATTAGCGTAAATATGGCATTGTACAAATTGCCTTTGTCTACAAACCGTGAATATAAAATGGAATAATTATTTCTTTATTTAAATTCATATTTGATATGTAAATGTGAAATTTCTATATAGTTGATATCTTCCTATTTAAAATTCACTGTCAAAGCTATTAAATAGATATACTATAATTATAGTTAGATTTAAAAGTTCTTTGCAGCCTAAATTTGCATTACAAAAAAGTCTGTGGTAATTGTTTATTCCCAAAGAGGGTAGATGTCAGGCAGGCGGCCGGTCGTAAAAACAATTAGCCAAAACTATTTACAACATGTAAGGCAGAACCTGGCTAAAGAAGATAGTCTGTGGTAACTTTAGATAATATCAAAACAAAATAACTGGAGAAATATATAAAAAAATATTATCTTTAAGTCTCAAATCAACCTACCTTAGTTATAATGCTTATAAGACATGTTGTGTCCGTCAGGTCTCCATAATGCAGATGCATTTTCCCGCCAGTATGACACGCTGGCTGTCCATACAAATGTTGAATACGACCTGGTATTGACAAAAATAATCTATATTTTTATATATTTGTTATGCAAGTCAATAATTTTATTTTTGAACAGAAATATTATAAGTTGTAGTTATATTTGTAGTAATCAGTATATATATACATGATTTTAACTTCCAAATCTATTTAGTAATACTGTTAGATCCTTTAACTATTTGTTAAATTAACTTGTTCTGTATACAGTCTTAATAAGATATTTCTTCTAGTTAGCTATAATTTAAATCTATTAAAATACAAACCTGTATTGAATGAAGATGACCGCCTAAGAATTCCATGGACCTCATAGCCTTTTTCAATTAAGAATTCTGTTAGATAAGATCCATCCTAAAGATAAAAAATATGGTTTTATGATGGAAGTACACAGAAAGCTAAAGTATTTTGTGGACTAGACTAGATGAAAGAAATTCTTGATATTTACCAATAAGATTACAAGCATTTTACAACAGTTACCAATAAAAGTAAGAACTAATACTGTTGTTTTTCCTATATTTAAACATTGTTTTATTTAAGGCTGGCACTGACGTTTACAACTTTTAACTCAAGTTATTGAGTACAATATTAAATTTTTATGTACAATAATTTGAGAAATGTATGAAAGTTTATAGAATGTATACAATATTTACCTGTCCGGTTATACCGGTTATTAACGCGACTTTTCTATTATTTCCACTGGCGCCTGGCTCTGACATTATTTCAAAAGAATGAAATTTTGTTAAAATATAAACACGTCTGCACCGAGCAACTCGATAACCGGCACTGATAAGCTTATCAAGTTATCACTGACACACCTAAACATGCTAAACATCAAAATTCCGAATTATAATCTTTTAAGTGCTTTTACATGTATAGTTTTAACAATAAACATTCATTTTAAAAACATAAAAATAGTTTAGGACATTCCTAAAACAAGTAATAATCCATAACAATACACAATTTATAAAACATCAAATCAACAATTATTTAAAAATGACGTCAATTGTCAGGTATTAAACACAGATGATACAAACACTTAGTTTATATTAATTTAAAATTTAATATTAATAACAAAATGCAAGGGCTTTTGTTGAATTTCCTTTAAATTTTTTTATAATAACCATTATTACTTTTGTCATTTCCCTTGTTTTGCTTTTAATTCATGTCAATTTGACAATTCCTAGTGTTATATCTGTGAGAATCGTCATGTTATTATCGTCTTAATAACTCTGAAGTCAGAAGTAGTTGTTTAGTTTTAAACATAATAATATAGCATATAATTAATATTGTGCAATCGAATTGAATAATATAAATCCAGGATGTATGTTAGTTTCAAATAGCACAAACCTTGTTCCTTTTTTACTAATTACATTAGTGAACAAGGTTAAGTTTTAAATAAAAACACAGGTATAGAACATCACATGTACTTCATTTTGATTAAAATTAAGTACGTATAAGTTTCAACATGCCCGAAATTAAGATAACTCCTTTGGGAGCGGGTCAGGATGTTGGACGCAGTTGTATTTTGTTGTCAATGGGAGGTAAAAATATTATGTTGGACTGTGGTATGCACATGGGGTACAACGATGAGAGACGTTTCCCGGATTTTTCATACATAGTGCCAGAGGGACCGATCACAAGTCAAATAGATTGTGTAATAATATCACACTTCCACCTCGACCACTGCGGTGCACTCCCATACATGTCAGAAATGGTCGGTTACACTGGACCTATATACATGACTCACCCAACAAAAGCCATAGCTCCAATTTTGTTAGAAGACATGAGAAAAGTTGCAGTTGAAAGGAAAGGAGAATCAAATTTTTTTACTTCACAAATGATTAAAGATTGCATCAAAAAGGTAACAGCGGTAACACTACATCAATCTGTAATGGTTGATAATGAATTAGAAATCAAAGCATATTATGCCGGCCATGTCCTAGGGGCTGCTATGTTCTGGATAAGAGTTGGATCACAATCAGTTGTATATACAGGAGACTATAATATGACTCCCGATAGACATCTCGGGGCAGCCTGGATTGATAAATGTAGACCTGATTTACTTATATCGGAATCAACATATGCTACAACTATAAGAGATTCAAAGCGTTGCCGGGAAAGAGATTTCTTAAAGAAAGTCCATGAGTGTGTAGAGAAAGGCGGAAAGGTTTTAATACCTGTATTTGCTCTTGGTCGAGCACAAGAGCTATGTATACTGTTAGAGACGTATTGGGAGAGAATGAATTTAAAATACCCAGTGTACTTTGCATTAGGTTTAACGGAGAAGGCTAATAACTATTATAAAATGTTTATAACATGGACAAACCAGAAGATACGTAAAACATTTGTACAAAGAAATATGTTCGACTTTAAGCATATTAAACCATTTGATAAGTCATATATTGATAACCCTGGTGCTATGGTGGTTTTTGCTACTCCTGGAATGTTGCATGCTGGTCTATCCCTCAATATATTTAAGAAGTGGGCTCCCTATGAGCAAAATATGTTGATCATGCCAGGTTTCTGTGTTCAAGGCACAGTTGGACACAAAATTCTAAATGGCGCGAAGAAAATTGAATTCGAAAACCGTCAGGTAGTTGAAGTTAAAATGGCCGTCGAGTACATGTCGTTCTCTGCTCACGCTGACGCGAAAGGCATCATGCAGCTGATACAATACTGCGAACCAAAGAACGTGTTGCTCGTGCATGGAGAGGCTCAGAAGATGGAGTTCTTAAAAGATAAAATCGAAAAAGAATTCAAGATCAGTTGTTACATGCCCGCCAACGGTGAAACGGCGATAATAAACACTCCAACGAAGATCCCGATAGACGTATCCTTACGATTACTGAAGGCAGAGGCTGTGAGATACAACGCTCAGCCTCCAGATCCGAAACGGAGACGAGTCGTACATGGAGTGCTCTGTGTTAAAGATAATAGATTATCATTCCTAGATATAGATGAGATGTGTGACGAAATCGGCATTAACAGGCATATCATTAGGTTTACGAGCACCGTGCGTTTTGATGACGCCGGTTCAGCGATCAAAACCGCTGAGAAGTTGAAGACATTACTGGCAGAGAAGCTCCAGGGTTGGTCCATTACCATATCAGATGGAAACATCTCAGTTGAATCCGTCCTCATTAAAGTTGAAGGGGAGGACGATAATACTAAAAGCATCTACGTGTCCTGGACGAACCAAGACGAAGATCTGGGCAGTTACATTCTAGGTTTACTGCAATCCATGGTACAGTGATAAAAAATAAAACCAAACTATTTTTATGTAATAAATAACGTATATTAATATCATTTTTTTTATTTATAAACACCAACTGACGTCATTGTTACACTTCCCTTGATACCATAAATATTGCAGTCTGTTCGCTTCGTTCAAAAATTTCGTTGCATTTACCGCATTCGCTCGAGGTTCCTGGAAAATATTTGACTTACATATTATACGTTAGCAATTGTTGAGAAGTCTACATTGTAATTTAAATTTTTAAAATGGTGGCTTAAGAGCTCACAATTCGATTTATTTATTGTATATTTTTCTGAAATAAAGGAGCCTAATTATGACCCAGAATACTTTATAAATTAAAGCATCATAATAATCATTACACTATCTTTTCGTTCGTGCTCATATTTACTATTTGTTAAATTTATCATGTTTCCCTTACTATTTTAAATAACGAAATGAGAGCGTTTATAAGAGTACATTAATGTTGATGAAATAAAATTATTAATATCTCATGTGTCAATGAATATACCCATTGATATCCTACTAATATTATAATTGAGAAAGTTTGTGAGTGTGTGTGTATGTTTGTTACTTCTTCACGCTCAAACGGCTGAAAAGACTTTGATAAAATTTTGTATACAGGAAGCTGACGTCCAGGAATAACACATAGGCTACTTTACATCCCGGAAATCCGCGGGTAACACCGCCGGGCGCAGGTAGTATAATATAATACCTTATATATTATATAACCCTACGTATTTTCTTTATGAATTTTGTTTCCAATTTTAAAACATATGTATATAGTTAGATATCTTATTCACACTATATAGATGTTTTTTGACTAGTTCTGTTTTTTTTTAAATATAAATACGTAATAATAGTTCATAATAGTTTTACACTTTAAAAGAAATGATTTTTGAATAATTTTGTTAGTAAAAATTTGAGTAACGGCGGCTTCAGGTTTTTTATGTCATGTGTGCAGTGTGTTACATCTCTAGGTAAACGTTAAATTTAATCCAAGGTGAAGTAGCAGATATGTATGAAATACATGTAAATATAAAACCAGTTTTAAAATAATATTAATTATTAGGTCTAATTTTATACTGAAGATAACATTTTATTCAAAATTAATAGTATGATTTCTACTAATGTACTTACTAATATAATTTAACATGATGTGTAAACATTACGTAACAGGAAAAATTACAATTTATATAATTTTAGACTTACAATTCTCATTAGTATATATGTTTAGTTTTCTCCCAAAATGTCCTATTCATTTAAGATTGTTGATAAGAATGCTATTTCGTGGGGTTTACTAATTATTTTTGAATTCTTACCATAGCCGGCGGGAACAGTCTTCTAAAGTCTCCTTGATGTAAATATTCCCTATGTGCATTTAATAGGTTAGATCTTAATCTAGTGCTCAGACAGGGTCTGCAAAGTTTGCAAATGTCCAATACTGCACAATCGTCTCTACATATAGAATTGCACGCTCCGCTGTATACAGCTATGTTTTTTTGTGAAGACATCATATTACGGACATTGTTGTCACTGAAAAAAAAAATTGTTTGAACCTTAGGTAACCTATAAGATAAGTTTTTAATATAAAGATTTCTTAACAATGTTTTAATCTTATTTGGTAGATGTTTAAAATAAAAAAAATATAGATTTGTGACATCGACATTTGTTGGAGCTGTTCGAGTTAAGTTTATTTAGTTGTTTTCGCCTAAATTATTGTTTACCATTGCGTTAAGGAAAATATAGATTCTTTATAGCATTTTGTTAAAACTATATATGTATCTAAAGTGTAAACACATTGCATGCGTTCAGAAAACTACGAGCATTAAGAAAATTATACGGCAATGTACATATTAGTAATAAAGTTTTTGAATTTGTCTGCAATCTAGTTATGTTTAATACACAATTATTTATTATAAACAGGCTGAAAAAAATTATCATTAGGGTAGCCAGTAGAAATATGTACAAAGTCAAGTTGTGATTGATATAAAAAAAAAACATTGTTTACGGTAATGTACGCTATTTACATTTATAATTTTTCAGTAGATATGAAAGAGTAGATAGAAGTAGGTACTTCGAAACTAAAATTAAAAATGCAAATGCTTGTTACTTTATTTTATAACTTACGTAATATCATTGTTGGTAGAAAGGCCGACCAGAGAGAATAGGTTGTATAGAACCTGTTCATACAAAAGTTGATTTGGCGGGAAATGTGCCGAGCTGAGGTTGGGCGACATGTTGGCTTCTAGAAGATACACCTTGAGATTTTCATCTACAACTAAATCGAAACGCATCATTTCAAAGAAGTTGTCTTGGTACGGGTAATTCTTTAACTGGAAGACAAAATATTGACATTGAACAGAATTGTATTTAAGTTTATTATTTATTAGAAAAAAAGGATTTTTTACTTACAGCTTCTACTATGTGATGTTCTTTCTTTATAAAAACTTCAGTGATTGCGTCCTGTACATCTTTCCACATACGAGTTGTGTCCAAACCCTGGAAACATTTCAATCACTTGTTATTTTTGAATATCTTTAACATTAATATAGATAGATATTTAACATTAATATAGATATATTAGACACTAGCTTTTGCTTGCGACTTCGTCTGTGTTAATTTTGGCATTAATAATAATATATGTGTAGCTGACCGGGCGAACTCTGTTCGACCCTAGAGGCCTTAATTAACTAGATATTGGAATTTAGTAAGTATTTTTAAATAAAATAAAACAAAATTAAATGTCCTATGTCCGTCTTCTGGTTCAACTATACACCTACAGCTGTTCTAGAGGTACTTTCTTTTATAGCTAGCTTTTGCCGCCACTTTGTCTGCGTTAGTTTCATAATTAGAATAGTTTTGATTTAGAGGCAGTAAACAAACAGATTTTGGATATTATTAGGAATTTCTTTTATATATGTAAATATACGGGTTTAATGGCATGTATTAATGTAATATGTTTTCGTAAGGTAAAGGGTAACGTGAACTTGTGATCAATCGATATAAAAAGGCTTAATTCGTTAATCCCATTCCGCCCTTGTTGGGGTGAGCGACATAGCGCCCCGCTAATAGTGGCGCCACCAATACACTAAGGCGATCTACACATTACAGTTTATTTTATACACTAGCTTTTATTGATGGCGTTACTCGAATTTTCATTCATATTTCCTACCTATTATGTTTATTTTCTAAACCAATTTATGTCATATTTAGGTACTTCTACCTCACATTTGTTCATTAACTCTCTGCGAAGTATATCTTAAATTTTAAATCTTAATTCTTAAGTATTTCCATTGTGCAAAAATTAACATACATTTTTTTAAAAATATAATTAAAATCACGAAATTGTTTACTATCAGTAGAACATGTATACACGCAATTAATAAGCTGAGTGTGTACTGTGTAGTGAACCTTATTTCTCCCTTTTTTTTAAAAGTGCGTATCCTGATGTCGTGTTATTTATCGTCTACTGAACGGATTTACCTGTTAAGTGGCTGAATGTCTGTTAGTGGTAGGTCTTCATTAAAAACAGACGAGAGCTAGGAACGAACACCTCCACACACACACACACACACACACACACACACACACACACCTCCACACACACACATACATACGACTTTACGATCTTTCTCGCTATAATAATGTATTTTTAAAACAAACATTGTAATCGTTGTGGCCACTTTAAAAAGCTTCACATGCTACCTATTTTCAATTAATTGTTTTACATTTTGCATTTAAACATGTAGTAGCTATGTACTAGTGGTGCTTAAATAAATAAAATAAATAAATACATACGACTTACACTTGTAATAAAACATAGAACTTATTTAAGACTGATGTCAAAATAGGCTGGACTGTTCAAAGCTAACAATACTATTTAACGTAAGTTAGTAAGTTAATAATTAAGGTAACAAGCCGTCATCAATATAAGCATTTAATATCCACTGAAAAGTTATCAATGTAAATGACCTTAAACAATGTTTTTTTAAAATCTCAATCACAACTTTACTTCATCACTTCCTAAATATACTAGCTATCCTAATGATGCCTACTAAGATTATAAATACGAAAGTAGCTCTGTCTGTCTGTCTGTTACGCTTTCACGCCTAAACCACTGAACTGATTTTAATGAAATTTGGTACAGATATAGAGTTGACCCTGATAAAGAACATAGGATAGTTTTTATCCCAGACTTCTGGAAGGTTCTCTTGGAAACGCGATATAACCGAACTGAACGCGGGCGAAGCTGTGGGCGGAAATATGTAATAAATATAGAAAAATATACAAACGGTTTCGAATCTAAGACTTTCTGTTGGAAATGCCGTCAGTGTAACTTTTGAACTATCGCGTCCTTACCTTTGTTTTAGCGTAATGATCGAAGGCGTCCTTCATTGAGTATCCGAGTGCATAAGGCTGTGCTAAAGACGGAACCTCCCAGGTCGGAAGGTAGTCATCACCGATTACGTATTTATCAAGATTATTAGCATCAAATGGATAGTACTTCGTTGGACAATACCTGGGAATAAATTTATAAGTTAAATGAAACTAATATTTCCGGATTATACTACGCGACTTAAAAAAACTACATACTCCCGACGTTTCGGCTACTTTTTAGCTAATTATTTTTTAATTATGATTTTTTCATATAATTTTAATAACGTATTTACACTCGACACACTTTATTAATCATTATTTAATATTAAACTTTAAATTATATATCTTAGTAATAAAAGAAATTTTGTAAGAAAGTCTAAATATAAAGGCTATTTATATATTTCAATTACTAATAATATTTGTTTGATAAAACATGAACAGGATATTACTTTATATGAATATAAATATAACATGGTCTAACATACACAAATATATTTAACTCAAGTTAAAAAATATATTATGTAAAAATAACATAGAATGTCTTTATGTATGTATACTAAATGTAAAAGTAAGTAATGCTATAATTTCGTATTATTAACAATATTTAATTATAGGATATAAGTCAGTGGTGGCCTAGTGGTTAAAAGGTCCGCCTCTCATGCATGAGGGCGCGGGTTCGATCCTGGCCCTACCAATGTAATTTTTCCGAGTCATATGTACTTTCTAAGAGTACTTAGACATCACTGATTAATGCATTCCCAAAGAGGGTTGATGTCAGGCATGCGGCCGGTCGTAAAAACAGTTAGCCAAAACTATTCATAACATGTAAGGCAGACCCTTGCTAAAGGTGGGAAATTGCTAGGTAGAAGAAGATTAAGTATAGGATATATTAAGTTAATTTACCTGAACAACACATCTCCTTTATACCAATAAACTCTTAATGGATCAACAGAAGTCAGAACGACGTATACTCCAATGTCAAATTTATGTCCATCCACCAGAAAGGGTTTCTGTATGAACTCTTGAACGAAACTTTCGCCACTATCAGAATCTATTGCAGTCACGTTTTTCAAATACACACCTCTATGTTGATTGTGCTTCTCCAAAAACATTGCATCTTTGTTTAATTTCGCGTATTTAATGAACTCCGCTTTGTTTTTCGGTAACTTAAACGCTCTAGGAATATATTTTGACTCCGAAGTCGCCAGATCGACTTTATTAGTTATGAATCCAGTGCCAGGAAAGTGATTAACTTTCTGATTTGGTCTCAATTTGTGCAAATTCGGATATAGAGATCGGAACGGGAAATCGTGAGACCATAATAGCGTCCACGGAGTTTTGTTCGTACTTTTCTCATACCCAATTCTCTCTAATACCAAATGTACATGTTTCAAAAGACCTTTTCTATTTTGAACATCACTGTAGGCTGAATACACCCAGTATAGTTTTTTGTTGTCCTTACATACGTCATATCTATTCCTTACATTTAATATTTCCAATAGAATTGCCAAAGATACTCCTATTATACATATTAAGAGAAATATATTTATATTTGTGTCCTTTTCCGTACGTCGCTTGTCATTATTTGTGATATCTTTTGCGTTATTATGAGATATTTTCTCGTTTTTATCCAATATTTGTTTGGTCTAAAAATAAAACATATTTGTAACAATTAATATTGTAATCCCGATAGACCTATAAAGATATTTTCTATTTCTAATAAATCTTAATATTATTTCTCACACAATTCTATAAGAAATGTATTCATTCATAACTTTTATTAATAATATTCGAGCCTATTTACGTAAATGTAAACAACTCAGAAATACTTTACATAATGCTTAGTTTATGAATGTAAATATAATTTTATTCCTTGATTTTAATTTGCTTTTTACTGATTATAATGAAAACTTACTTGAGCCTTCTTCATATTATCTTAAACTTTTTTCTCTTATTTTTAAATTTAACAAGAAAAAACTTTTATCACTGCGCACGAGTATATTAGCAAGCATATAAGCTAAGAATGGATTCATTCAAGATAGACAGAGACAAATGTATTGGAGGGTACAACGAGTTGGAAGAGGACAGGTGATACTTTCTAAAATGGCACCGTCTTTTTAAGGTCACATCATGTGTTTGTACATATATGAGATTTATTTTCTCTAACCGACATGTAGGGAAAATAAATTAGTTAAAATATCACAAGTAAACAAAATTCTTTAGTATATATAAGTGTAACTATAATGTTTTGGTTTTAACTTTGTCACAGAGCTATTAATTTATAGGCTACTAGCTTTCCGGCCGCAGCTTCGCCCGCGTGGAGTTCGGTTACATCGCGTTTCCAATAGAACCTTTCAAAAGTCTGGGATAAAAACTATCCTATGTTCTTTCTCAAGGTCAACTCCATCTCTGTACCAAATTTCATTAAAATCAGTTCCGTGGTTTAGGCGTTAAAGCGTAACAGACAGACAGACAGAGTTACTTTCGCATTTATAATATTAGTAGGGATTTTAATGATTTCTTTTTTATATGTAGTCTATACTCGCCTTTAACGTTCGGTTCATATTAAAATTTATCAGTTTTTCATTTATAAATTCTCATACTATAGTATTAACGTAGCTTATTGAATGAGAAACGGAAAACGCGGCGTGTGTAGTGGGATGATGCAAACTTGTGTTAGGCAATTGGAACTTTTTTTTTAATTTGTAAAGATAGAATTTCAGAAACCATATTACGTGCTATGCATGGTGTAATATATGTTTAAAAAGTCTATGATTTTCAAACATTTATACATTAAATTATACATATTATAATATTATAAATATTGATTGATAGTCTATTAATAGAAGTTATGCGCCCCTTTGTTAATTAATTTTTATTATTTTATTTTAATACAATAGTTCTGATTCTTGTACATAAATGGCAAAAAGCATAGATTACTTATTTCCATACAATTGTTATAATTTCTGTCGTTAATTATCTGAACTAATTTTCATAAAGTTTTGTATGAAGGTAGATCGGAGGCCTAAATCCAATCCGAGATACATTGGATTATTGTAATAAGAAGCAAACGAAATATAAGGCAAGATTAGAATAATTAAATAAATACTACTAAAAAATAATATCATTTATTATAAAAGGGAAACTATATATTTTTTTAATGAAACTAATATTTTTCGGATATACTACGTAACTTTATTATTTTAAAACTACATACTACCGAAGTTTCGGTTACTTTACAGCAACCGTAATCACGGGGAGACAGATATTTAAATGAATAAAACTCGCGAAAGTATCTTATTAGATCAAAATTCTATTAAAAATATCTTAATAATACGCAAATGTGGCTCATATCAAAGGTACATATAAAATATACATATATTATTTGAATTACATATAAAATGCAGCCAAAGTCATTGGAAACAGCTAGTTTTATAATATCATATAATAATATACTACATAATATGTATATATGTGTGTGGTTACACGTGATATGCGGCAGGTATTTCTGACAGAGGAATGTAACACATATGTATGTATGTCTGTTATTTAGCAAAAAGTACATTGAAATATTGATTTGACATATTCAGATTAGTATTAGAAATAACAAAAAAAAAATTTTTAATAAATAAATGATTGGTTTGATATGATTGGCTATTTTAATTTGTTTTAAATGATACATTAAAATAGGATTAGGTACATTTTAAGATAAATATTTTAAATGAATAAAAGTTATAAGAGTAACTGAAGTGGAATTTCAACACTTACTGAATACCGTTACATTAATTTGCATGAAAAATATAAATACATATAATATAAAATATATGATTAAAAAAAGTATATATACAATCATATTTATAAATAGTATTACTGGGAAAAGGAATGACAAATATATATTTTTAAAAAAATAAGAAATTTTTACTTGTACATATGATATATATATTTTTTATATTATTGTTAATTTAATAAGTTGTTAAATAATTAATAAATCTTAGGGTAGGTTTTAAATTTCTGTTACAAAAAATCAGATGATAAATAAAAAATAAAAGCTAATAAAATATAAAAAACCCATACCTTGTTAAAACGCCGACGGATCCCCAAAACCATAAACACTATCAAAATAAAGAAGCAATCGGAATAATGTCTGGGATATCATCTTAAATGTTTATACTTCTAGCAGACAGACAGACGGGCGCCCTCGGCGGCGGGGAGGTAAGAAACTGGCACAGAAGAATACAAACAGAAATAATATTAAAGTTAAAACATATTATATTTTAATATATTCAATAATATACGCGTAATTTAAAGGATTGTTATAAGAAAATAAGATACATTTAAATGAATTCTTCTTTTTCTTCTACCTGGCAATTTCCCAGCTATAGCCAGGGTCTGCCTTACATGTTTGAATAGTTTTTGGCTTTTTGTTTTTACGACCGGCCGCCTGCCTGACATTAACCCTCTTTTTTTTTGGGAATCAACATTAATCAGTGATGTCTAAATATTCTTAGAAAGTACATATGATTCGGAAAAATCACATTGGTATTGCCCGGGCCAGGATCGAACCCGCGCCCTTGACGACGAGAAGCGGGCCCTTTAACCACTGGGCCACCACTGACTTATACATTTGAATGCATTATAAAAAGAAATTAGTAAAATAATTCTAGCGAAATTATATCTCCAATTAATTCTATATACATGATTAAAATTTAAATGAAACTAATATTTTCTGATTACTACTCGTATTTTATTATTTTTAATAACTGGGTACTTCATCAGTAACTGTTCAGCAACCGTCATCACGGATGGTCATCTCAATAATATTAGTTTCATTTAAATGAATACTCGCGTCTTAAAACTCATTACATTTAAAATTATTAAATAAAACTACTAAGATATTTCATTAGTAATGAATACAACAATAGTATCTATTACAATAGTGCATGAGGGCGCGGGTTTGATCCTGGCAAGTACCAATATGATTTTTCCGAGTCATATGTACTTTCTAAGATTATTTAGATATCACTGACAGATGAAGGAAAACATCGTGAGGAAACCTGGACTTATAATTTCACAATTATAAGTTTGAAATCACCAACCCGTCTTGAGCGAGCGTGGTGATTAATGATTAAACCTTCTCCATGTGAGAAAGAGGCCTTTGCTCAGCAGTGGGCTTTGATAGGCTGATTATGAATCTATTACAATAGTAATAAATACTGCCGTAATTTTATTTTAATACAATAATTATGATTCTTTTAACTTAAATGGCAGAAAACATACATATGTTAATTCTATACAATTTTTTTTAATTTTCGTCGTTAGTTTTCATAAAGTTTAGTATAGAGGCTTATCGTACTACTTAATCCTTACTGACATACATTGGATTATTTTTAAGTATAAACAAACGAAATATAGTATCTTGTAGATACATACCATGTGTTGCCGGCGTCAGTTTGTCTGCAGCCTCCATCGATCCAAGTGTAGAACATCACGACTGACCGGCGCCACTCGTCACTATACTGATAACAACACACTACACACTGCTCCTACTACGAGTCAACACACTTACTCGATACACACAGTACTATGGTAACATATGAGAAGACGTATCTTTGAAGAAATGATAACTTGTGGTAGCTGCATAGCACATACAACATTACTCATACGATCTGTACTGAAAACTATATGTATTTATATAAGTATTTTTTTATGAGTAAAGTTATAAATTAAATAGATGTTTAATTAAGTCATTCCAGGCTATTAATACATGCATATATCATTGTGCCGAACATATTAAAAACAATGTATAAATGCTTCATTTGAAACTTTAGAAATTATATATTTTTAGTATCCCTTTTTTTTCAGTACTTTCATTTAGATACTGTAAAGCCTAAATAAACTTACTGAGCAAAAAACTTTGAAATAACTGACACACTTTCCTGAGTACTGTTACTTTAATAGAATAACATAAGTATAAAAAGTTTTAGAACGAACCCGCGGCGGAATAATATAGTTATGTGGAACAAAAATAATCTCCGATATTATATATAAAATATTTTATTATTAAAACAATATAAGACGATAGAAAATTTTGTTCTAAATTGGGCAAACTGATTATACAACGATTTATTCCATACTTCAATAAGTATTGTTCCTTTAACGAACAAAACAAATTTATAAATTTAATATTTTTACATCGTTTTTAATAGGTTCTTTTCAAATTTAGTTATGTAGAGAGAGGAGCTTGGACAGTGGAAGTGAGCGTTTAACGCGCGTCAGTTAGGGTTCCCTTAAACCTACACCTGGGTCCCAAGTCCCAGTCACTGTTGAAGCTCCTCTCACTACAACGATGGACCCGACACACGCGCGGTGAATACATTGAATGATGAGAAGTTTCTTCTATCAGTTGATCAGTTGGTATGTAAACGAAATACTCTGTACTGTCAGTATGTAGTACGACGACGTAACCTTGTATTAAGGATACTCTCGCGTCATCTGTATTCAATATTCAAGATACAACATCGAAAATAGTAACGAATTATCCTGTTTTTGTCTGAACTTAAAGATGTTAACTTGTTTACGTATATTTTTAAGATTATTTTAGGAATTTGGGCCATTTGAAATAATTTTCTCGTAAAATTCACAAAAATTGTAAGAATAGGTAAATAACAAAAGAGAGAGAAATAAAGCAAATTACATAATAATGAAGACATTGTTTTTTTGTAATGACATTTAGGGTAATCGTCGGATTTATTTTAAATATATAAATATTGTTTATATCACTGTTAATATAAAACATTATTAAATGAAGATTATCATATTAATAATGTTTATAACTCTCTTGATTTCACACGTATAGTTAAACAACATAAAGTTAAAGTGTTTTAAACTGCTAAACAAATTAATTCGTAGACCAAACACATCCAAATGTATTATAAACGAATGTAACCAAATGAATTACAATATTTTTTTATAATCCCGGTCTTAATAATGAAAATGTGATTTGTCTTATTAAGGAAAATGTACTTTTTATATGACTATAATAATTTCAACATATAAATGGTATGAAAACTGAAATAAAATCCTTGTCTAATTTTTACAAGGGGAAAAAAATATAAAAAGGTCGATATAAAATAAACATAGCCACACAATATATAGTTTTCTTTGTAAGTTTCTGTAAAGTTGACTATTGAAGTTCGTATGTCCCATTCTACACGTTGTCGCCAGTCTGTCTATTTTCGTGATTCAAATCTTCTCACATTAGTGATGTAGTATCTTAGATATGGTAGATAGATAGGTAATATATTTATCTTATATTCGTTTCCACTGTTAAAAAGTGTACAAAGTGAATAATACAAATTAGTCTACCAAAAACCGTGACTGTGATTGAGACTTACAATAAAAAACAAGTAAAGCTAGAATACAAAAAATGTCTTTAAATTATTTAATGTCACTATACATATAATTCAGATCGAAAACTAATTCAAAAATTAATATGTGTATTTTGTTTTATGTAGCTTATGTCATAATGTTTTTTTTTATAATTTTAATATTTATGTCAGTTAATTGTCAATTTTCTATTTTAAATTTTATTGTAATATTGATTTATTAATGTAGTAATCTAGATATTTTTTTTTAAATAATGTAATAAGTTTTCATATTGTGTTATGACTTCATAAATCGATGGAAAATAGTTTCCCATTAAAATGATTTTACAAATTCATTTAAATTTAAAATTAGTTCGGGTAAATGAAATAATTAGATTATTTTCTTATTTCTTCTTATGACCTAATTTGGGTTCGAAACGTTAATATAAGAAGGAGGTTTAGAATAAAAAATGAAATATTCTTATATATAAAATTATTTATTTACTAATACATTATAATATGTTTTTTATATATGTTTATGAACATGATATAATAACAGGTCGAGGAAACAATGAAAGAAGTAGTAATAATTATGAAAAAGTTGATTTATTATTTATTATTATAATTATAATAATTATTATAATACAGTTTACAATAATTACAAGCGAACACCAAACGGGGTGAAACAAAACGGCGGATTAAATTATTAGGCCGCCTGCAACAGTCGCGGGCCCACTGCGGCGCGGCGCGCGGTGTACGGAACCTCTCGCGGTGAGTGAAGCCTGACACCGCGGAGAGGCTCCGCACTCCGCGGGTTAAAGTCTAAGAACGCGCCGCAATAGAACCGCGCACCACGCAGGACAGATTTAGGATATAGTCTTTCGAACGCGAGGAACAAAATATTACACAAGTCGAGAATATTATTTATAATCGATTCGGATTAAATCGGATTCGGCGAAAGCGTACCGCATGGGCGGCGGGGAGAGGCGGGCGACGCGGCTAGGCTATGTACAGGGCCGCTAGGGGCAGTCGCATTCCTCGACCACCATCTCGGGCAGGTCTCGCTTGATGATGTTCGAGTCGGCGCCGAAGTAGATGAGGGACAGCGCCGAGAAGCGCACCGGGGCGCAGCAAGCGGCGCGCTGCAGACGGGCCGCCTCCACCACCTACACGCACACCCGCCCGACAACATGATTGATGAGCGTTATAGGTCAACATTGAGGTTAGAACCGTGCCGTACTGGCGCAAAAAATAAGGTCAATCAAGAATATGTCTGTGGTCGGACCTGAGAATGATAGTTGAGGTAGGGCTCGCACGCTCCACGGCAGTAATTGGCGTAGTAGCCTTCAGGTGCCACGATCCAGTCGTCCCAGCCGAGCGCGCGGAAGCTCACGTAGTACGTCTGTCTGCAGCAGCGGCCGTGAGCGGCGGCGTCGCAGTCCAGCGCTCGGCGGCGGCGCGGCGAGCGTGCGGCGACACGGAGCCGGAGGAGAGGTCGCGCGGCCGCGGCCCCGCCGAGCCTGAGCCGCACGCGCCCCGCACACCCGCTGCAGTCCACTAACAGGCGCAGCGGCGTCGTAGCGCCGGCCGCCGCCCAGCGCCGGGCCGCCGGCGTCACGTCCACACGCTGCCATCCTCGACCCGAGCCGGTTCTACCACCTAGTAATATAGCAATATAGTCCCGATAGTATCCTTCGAGAAAGACATCAGTCAAACCTTGTATCCTAAAAGTTTATTAGCACATCGTTGGAGTGACGAAATCATTTCCTTATACTCCTACCTGCATTTTCCGACATAGTTATGTCAGTTGACAGCGATAAAGTTTCTATAAGGGATAAATTTTTCGTCAACGTACCGCCAATCTCGGCTTCCCCAGCCAGTTCTCCAACACTGGAGTTCCCGTGTACCGTGAAGGCCCACAGCGTGTATCTTAGTTTTCTTGCCCTAGGCGCGGCCTCCGCGCGGACCATCAGCTCGGCAGCAGCCACCGACAGCCCCTGCTCGGTCTCCGCCTCTTGGCCGAGTCGGAATTCTATCAGACGCTGGCCATTTAGCGTCTCACCTGGCGAAAATGACTCGCAAATTGAGACTAAGCATTATAACACTAGCATGGACCTATGTATGACCTATAGAGTTTTATTAAAGGCGAAATGACTCGAATCTGTGCTTGCTTCATCATTATGGGGACAGGAGCGGTCTGGTGCAGCCGTTTGGTGCCCATGGCTGTAGGCTACACTTGCCCGGTCGTGGTGTACGAACATTCAACCAACATTCATACAGGACGATTCAGGTTCGCGCTACCGGCTGTACACAGACTTCGTATATCAAATGCCTATAGAGGTGTACTTTACATCAAATCTATAAATACAAATATAACGATGCCACAAGCACTGAATATAATAAATAGTAATAAATTTTGGACTACGCAATTTCCAACGGTGAGAGGAGCATAGGTAGTTGTCCCATAACTTGGTCTGAAACAAAAATAATAATCATTTAAAATGTAATTATTTTTTATTACTTTTAAATACACCAAGGTTTAGTTATATAAATTACTAATGATTCATATAATAAAAAAATATTACTTAAATTTTCTATATTTCAATATACGAGGAATAAAATATTACATATACTATATGGGACAAAATGATATAAATGATTCTTAATGGTACTTGTTGTCCAACCGGTGTATTACAGGCCACCGCGGCATTCGCTTCACACGACCACACTGGTTGAAATCATTGTAAATCATACACAGTTCATGGCTTAGTTAATTTTAGCCATGGTCTATGGGGTAAATAATTCACTGTGGCATATTGAACGTGTCGCCTATGCAGCGTTATGCAACGCGATATTGATTAAAGCCAGTTCTAGATGGCTTCGGAATCAAAGACGGTTTATGTCTTAAGACCTTTTAATTCTGAATCATTAATCTAGGAACATAAAGTTATTCTGTTTCAGAATGCAGTCGCGTGCTATGTACATGGTCACAGGCGCCGTTTCCGCTATTCAAATGACTTACAAACAAATTCTTGATAGTCTTAAGTTTATTGTTATTACGCTACATCTTGCAAAGAAATCTGATTTATTAGGTAAAATTTTTAGTTACTCCATTTTAAAGGCTAGAAGTTAAAAACAATCATACAATTAAATGTACATATAATCAATCATTACATTTGTTTGCCAAAATATAAGAATTTTTTGCTTAGAAATATAAATAAAAACGATTTCTTCAATGTATATCAACGATTGAACTATTTCGTAAGTACTTTGGCTTTACGTAATTTATTTTTGATTTTAAATTTTAAGCATAAAAATGAAAAACACTGGTTTACATAATAAAGAAAATTGTTTATAAATGAAAAATAAGTATATATAAAGTATAAACGACTTACAATATTAATCAGATAATTTATATATCTTACTGTTTAAATGAAAGATTTATTAAACTTTCAATCCTAAATTTTAATAATTATGGTTGAGTTTTGAGTGTCTGAAATCAATAGTATTCTTAGATATCCATTTATATACATATATATACAGTATATTGTTTAATTTCTCGTTATTTCAATATAATTTACAAAACAAATATTTATATACAGTTTTTCTACATTAGTTATTCAGACCAGCCTTGGTTGATAAAAAGAAATATCTATGTAATAAATACAAGATGAGAAATCAGAAATAACACATGATTTATACATTACTTCTAATAACTATGTATTTAGTTCTTTGATATATTTCATATAAATGTTAAAATTACACGAAAATTTTGTTCTTTATATTGGAAGTATAGAAAAAACATTATAATAAAATATACTAAAAATATATTATAATATGTTAATCGAAGTTATGCGGCTCGTTTTTTAGAGCCGTGTATTCCGGAATTATAAAGTTATGTGTGAAAAACACTCGTACCTCAAAGATACGTAACTAAGTCGTTCTAGAAATATCTGTTAACAATTAATATGAAAACTATTATCAGCAAATATTTTACAATTACTTATCTACATACATTACATACATTATACATTACTTAGCTTCATGAAAATCTATACGAAAACGTCATATGAAAAGTTTTAATTCTTTTATATCTATCTATTTGTTAAAGTTAGTTTCAAATTTAGATAGTATTATAAGGACTAAGGCTATTTTTAACCAACTTAAAAGGAAAGGTTTTCAATTCGATTAAATATTTGTTAAATTAATAATCCTTTAGTTACTTTAGTTCCATAAATCTCATAATTTTCGGGAAATTAAATACAGCCTTATAATCATCATATCTACATTAAAAGGAGCTTCATATGCAGGCAAAGCTGAAGACAAGAGCTAGTTATACAAAATCTCATCTTTGATCGCAGAAAATAATTAAATTAATTAAATATAATATATTTTTCCTCATTATACTAGACTATTATATTCCTAAAGTGAGCTGGTGGGTGAAGGTTGCGTGTTTGTTGAAAAGCATTACAATCCAGTGTTGGTGACGTATATTATCTAACTTCCTTAATTATAGTTTTTTTATTTTAATACCTAGGCATTTACACGCGAAGTATTTTTTATCTTAATATTTGTCGCTGTTCATTTTTTTTTTATCGGATATATATATATACTATTGTTACTTATATGTTATTTTATATATTATAATAATCAGTTGGTTTCTCTCAATGTTACTTATGGGATCTAAATAATACTATTTCGACATCAACAAAAAATAAAGATATTTTATTATGGATTTTTCATAATTTAATTCTAATTTAAAATACGTTAACGATCTTTAGAGAATAATTATTATAAATGCTATTGCAGTTAGTCTTTAGTTATTCTTGGAGAATGTCGCTAATAGATTTTAGTAATTAATTTTATTCTATACATGTAATATGTGAGAAAGTTATTTAACCAATATAACAGGGTTGTTCGTTGTAATATTTTACAAATTAATTTGGTGAAGGTCATTAACCTTTTTGTATTTGACCTTTATACTTTGTATTCCCATCTAATTAATCATTGATGCTGACCCTGTTCTTCATTGTGTAAGTAATTGATGCCTGGAGTTCATTTTAACACCTATTGTAGTAGTATGTTCTATCTTAAAAAATCCTTAATAGTCTAGCGTAAAGGTTAAAGTGGTACGGCCCGGGATAATAATTAGAAGTATTAAATTAATTATTTGACATAGAACCTATGGTGATTTATTGAAATAATTACTTATGATAAAAACCTTAATAATTATTTAATAAAAGTTGATAATTAAAACTGAACTTTATTAATAAATCTTTGTTAATTAATTATTATCATTGTACGATAAATGGGAAAAACTTCGTATGTAGTTACAATGTAAACTTGGGGTACGCACAGTGAATAACTATAGTAAAAAAATTATAAATAAAATTGTATTTCTTAATTCACTTTATAATTTTAATCTTAATAAAAGACTAATATAAATTTTTAAATGACTTATAAATATTTAGGATAAAATGTTTAAAAATATATGTACATATTATTTTTTCAGTTTTTTCCATGTTTTCATATAACACTATCACATACTAATATAATTAAAAATAAGGCATTTTTTTATTTATAAAACGCACTAGAAACAACACTTCTATTTCATTCAAGAAACTAGCTTTTAATTATCAGATAAATCTAAAAAAAAATCATTTACGTATCTTCATTTAAATTCCTCATAAAATTAGTCAATAGAAATAATATTTATGGATGAGAAACTGAATTCTAAGCGTAATATATTTTTGATTCCTTTCTAATAATTACGTATATTTATATAAATATCCGCTAAAATGCTGCATTTCATCATAATGCAGAGATGACACACCATATATGTATACATTTCAATATGTTTTTTAATTGCATTCTATTGCTTTGATTGTTGAAATCAAACGTCAAACATACTCGACTTATATACATGTAACGATGTAATCTAACTATCAGTAATTGGAGAACACTTGTAATAACTAAAAATATATATAAAAATAATTATTATTAATATGTTACATAAACTTACCTTTACGTAGGAAAATTCTGGTTGGTTGTGTCGCGTAAAAAGTTTTTCATTGTAAACGCCATACGAGCTCCTCGGACTATGTCTGATGAGTGACTGGCTCGGCCGGAGAAACCCTGTTTATATACCCGCTGATTCATACAAGCAAGTTGTATTAGCTTGTATTTTTATTGTCATTCCCTTGCCAAGTATAGATCGCTGACTACACTTGTATAAATATATACGATTTGAAACTAACAAAATTATTATTATATAAAATATTATTGTTTTAAATGATTCTTAAATAATTTAAGTTTAATCTATTAAAATTAAATATTACTGTTAACTTATCTAAAATGAGGGAAAACTATTAATTTTTAAGTAAATTTGAAATGAAATAGTGTAATATTGTTAAAAAGTAACAATCATTTCTATATGTGTAACGAAGTGCTACGAACATTCTACGGGATAGCTACAACGATTGTTATACCTATTCTAATTTAATTATTTTAGTATCAGATAAAATCTATTTAAATAAAGGTTTAAATAAATAAATATATTTAGTTCTCACAATTTTCAAGAGCTCCATAAATGCAATTCACGTAACAAGATTTTAAATTGCAACAAATTGTAAAAGTGAATTTGTGGTCTCCTTTAATATCTGACAGACACCCAGTTGAAGAAAAATAACACATACATAGAGATAATGAGAGATGACATTAATAGATTATATAAGGAGGCTGTTTAGGATGAGGTATTAGATTAAAGGAATATTTATCAAAGGAATAGATAAAAACTGCTGAATTTATTAAATAAAATAGTATGCAAGCTTGATGTCATTGGAAATTCTGAAAAATTGAATTTCGGGAATAAAATCATATAAAATTAGATAAATATTTTAGTTAAACATAAAGAAAATGTATTCTTGTAAGAGAAACGATAATGTTTTGTGAAAAATCATTTCGTATTTTGATTTAAAATTCACATTAAATTCTTCGTTTTTTTTCCGTAAATATTCAACAAAAATATATCAATATATACAGAAGAAAGATTATATTAATAATGAGCCCAGATGCACAGATTTCACTTGTTCTGTTATATTTCTATCATTCATCCAAAGAATTTCAAATATTTTCATTATTATTATACTATAAACAGATGATAAGTATGTACTATAATTTGCTTTTAAGAAAGCCAATAGCAAAAATTATATGTTGATATCAATATTTCTACTGTGATTAAATCATTAAAACTATGTACTCA